CATCATTTTTAAATTATTTAGAACAATTTAGGAATTCTTTTCAAATAAAGTATATCACCGGGTTAAAAATCTGGATCTTTTTTAAGGTAGGTACCAACGATGTATATAATTTGGAGCATTTTTACCAACCAAAAAAGTGTTTTTTCAGAGAAGGAAAAAAACATTTACTCGTTATATATTATTCAGCGTGTTTTCTAGAAAGGTGTTTTTGTCGGCGAATGCATAATAATAATAATATGCTTACATACGCACGACTACCTACTATTATTATATACCTAATATTATATATATATACATATATATATATACCTACTATTTTTTATTTCTGTCAAATATTTGCAAATATTGCGGAAAAAAAAGTTAATAAAGACCTACACAAATATTAGCAACGAAAAAAATATCAAAGATACGCACAAAATCCGAACAATATAATACACGAACTATAAGTAGTAGGGAATAGGTCACAGTGATAAATACTTACACATAACACATGTACAAAATGTAAAATGAAGCGTAGACGATGCATTGAATTATTCAATTTGCATGTGTACGCGAATCATTGTTAAAGGTTCTCACAAACTAGAGCTGTAGTGGCGGCAAAATTTATGCTATAAGTTACGGAATGAATATGTATACTTACCACTGAACTGACCTAACCAAAGTAAATATTATACATAGGGGAAATCGTGTGGGAGTAGTAATAAGTTATAGATTTTCTTTAATATTTTATTTTTATCTAGGTCGATCTTTTGATAATAACTATCATACGGACAACATACAGCATATAATATTTTCTATATAATATCTCACACACGCGAATTTCCAGATCCGATAGGTACCTATTCATTTTTGTTGTCATTGATACTCGTAATTTTATGTAAACTCCCAACAAAGAAACGCTTTAGTATGAGCTTTCTCATTTAAATGTATGCAAACAAGTTTTCACTACGGCTGCCGCTCTGGTTTGTGAGCACTTTTACGATAAATGATTGAAGTGAAATATTTGTAACCAGAAACGGTTAAACACATTTTTAAATGTACTTAAAACGAGTAAAATAGATGTTCTAGGATAATGGGGACGGGTGTAGCCACTGTTATAAATAATTTAATGTACACCTGTAAATAACAATAAATCATAGCTTACGATAAAACGGTCTGAGCAGAGTCAGTTGATATTGATGTTTTGTCAACAATATATATATATATATGTCAGTTTAAAGTAAAATAATGAAATAGGCTTTAAATATTTTCTTTAATAATATTTGTTTAATGTTGTACCGATTTTCCCAGTTTTCCCATGTTTTATCAAATCAAATCAAAAATGACCTCTCTAAAGTCCCTAGTAAAATTTCCTTTTAGAAACATTACTATCATTATAAGTTGGAGCAAAATTGCTGGTTGAAAATGTATGCAAAGGAAAAATACGTATTGTTTTAGTAATTTATTTCGTACGTCTTCCCGTTTTTTTTCGGTTTTTCAAATTTGATGAGAAAACTCTTCGAAAATCGAAAAATGACCTCTTTAAAATACCTCCCCTTTCAGTAAAGGTGCCACACTTAGAAATCTGAGGAAGCCTTCTGGTAGAAAAATTACGCACAGATAAAAAACCATAAGCTTCTTCGCTTCACTCAAAATCTAAAACAAGAAAAAAAAAGGACTAAATTTAATTTAATTTTACTATAATATACAACACATTATGAACATTATTTTACATTTTCAAGTATTTTTGAGTACAATTTTGTCCATATAATACCGAATAAAAATTAACAAATCTCGAAAATTTCAAATTGTTATATAAATACATGAATCATCACTAGAATTTTATAAAGAAAGGTATAAAGTATTATAAGTATTCGGCGATAATGCTCGGTCTCTGCGATTATTTCTTATCGAAAGTGGTACAAAAGAACATAATCGAAAATAACAGAAACTACATTATTGCGTAAATACTGAGTGTTTCCGTTTTTTCTTCGCAATTATTAAGGGACTTTTACACATTATTTACTTTGTCTAGCGCGTAATTTATAACAAGGACATTTCGCACTACAACGATTGTAACTTTTTTGGTTAAATTTAGAGCAAATGGGGCTATTTTTTTAACGTGAGAATTTCGTGTTTTAATTTAATTTAACGTCTTTTAGTTTTGACCAATAATAACTTATTAAGAAATAAATTATTCAATAGTCGTTTTTTCATTGAACCAAGATTTTTAATAGAAAACATAAGTGACAAAAATTTAAAACCATGTAATCATTGCCCGCTATAAATATTTGTCAGTTTATCACTACGGTTTTTCTATGTTATTTCCCAATCGTTATGAAAACTCGCTTGGAAAATCTAAAATTGACCTTACTTAAGTATCACCCAGATAAAATTTCCTTTCGGAAAAAGTTCTTTAATAGAAAATCGGAGCAAAATGGCCGGTAAAAAAGTTGTTCGTGGATCAAAAATAAACATCAATGTAATACTCAATACATTTCTCGCTCCACTCGTAGCAGAATCTAAAAGTACAAAGGGGCATCAAAAATAACACTCAGTTGGGTAGTTAGTATACTATCTTAAATCGTAATAATTACCGATTAGTTATTCGATAACAATTTGAACTAGTTTAAAACTCCGAACCATACCTTTGGCACATTTAGATATTAATATATAAAATGCAAATACCTATGTTTATGTATAGCTGTATCGAAGAGCAACAATGTATCCGCAGTAGTGACGCAATTGCATACTCTGCCTCTCCCCCCCCCCCCCCCGTAGCATTGACAATGAAAGTAATAATATAGTATAGGTTAAACTAATCATATTTTATATTTATAAATTAATACTTTGGTACCGCATAATAGAAAAAAAAATGACGAAATGGAATTTTGTCGAATATAGATACAACTGATTTCCTTGTAGAAATGTGATAAAAAAAATAAAAAAATAAACTAGCCGCCGGACAAAGTTTAAACATTGTAATTGATAATTATTATTATAATAATTCCTGTATTATATTATTATTATCGCCAACTTCAGCAGATATGAGTAGAAACGTACGTATAATAAAAATACTCGGCTAATGGCTATAATGGCGGTCACTGATAAATGAGATACAACACGACCTCTCATCGGAACACACGATTTTCCTGGGACGAAAAAGGTGCAGTATGCGTGAACGTGGTGTGCGACGAGTACATATTATTGTACATTATAAATAGTATTATCAGGGCCGTGTTAAAGGGGGGGGGGTTGCCACAAATGTATGGACCCACCAAATATTAGATGGATATCATGTGTAGGCACTGAAAACCTTACTGAAAATTGCTTTAGAGGGGTAGGCCACCTGCAATGTTATATAGTTAATGAGGTACGGTTTTTGGGTTTTTTGTTATCAGGGGAGTAATTACGGGAGGGGAGTTGATATGGGGGATAGATTATATGTTAATATATATATATATGATCATCAATTTTTCATTTATTCAATGTATTCAATATAAATAATCATATTTTATGTATAAATGTATAACAGACACGGAAAAGCCAGGGAGGCATGTCTTCTTCTTGCCCCCTCCCCCAATGGATGCCCATGTATATGACTTAAGAGAAATGCTCGAAAATTTAACACAAAGTACATTTTAAATTGTGTTTAATGATCTAAAAAACAAATTTTAGTTTAATGCATTAGTTTTTTTTTTCACAAGTGCTTTAAGATCGAATTTTGACGAAAATCGTAAAAATTACAGTATTTTAAAATTTATCTTTCGCTCCGAATCGTTTTTCGTTAGCAATTATTTATCTTTGTGTACAGAATAACTTTGTGTATCCTATCTTCCCAACTTCCCACCTACAATAGTATTTGCACCCGTCCCCAGTGTTTCAATTTTATTTTTGTTAAATTTTATTTTCGAACTTATAAGACTTGCCGTAAAATAATAATTTGTTTCTAAACTCTACCAAAACTATATTATAATACATAGGTAAATATATATTTGTCTTCAATAATTATTGAGTGGGCAATATAATGAACCCAATTATTGGCAATATGACACAATTGTTACTATTGTATTATCTTTTTTTAATATACAAGCAGTATTTTATGTGGACGCATTATTAAATAATCAAATTAACTACCTGTTAAAGATAACTGTCGAATATTGTATGTTCGGACGTATTTTACATATTTTGTTTGCTTAAAACGAATACCAATATTAACACAATATCCATTTAAAATTAAATATTTAACAAGTAAATTAATTTTAATACATCAAAATTTGTTTGGACTAATCGTTTTGGTGCGTTCAAAAATAATATGGTCAGCTCGTAAAATGCCCAAATAAATTTATGTAAAAAAACCGCAGTTCTAATGATTTCGGACACTTTGACAGGATTGTAAAGAGGACCTATCTACCTAGTTTTCTCAGATAGACAAATTTATTATAAAAAAAACCGATTAGTATAGTATGAAATAGTGTACATACACATAAAAATAAAATATTGTATGTAACATTTGAGCTATCGAAATTACATTATATTGTTAAACGCTATAATACTACGTCCTCCGGGCGGCAAACACGATGAGTAATACGTTATACACATAGAAATAATAATATATCTAAGTATAGGTATTACTAAAATGTCGGCGCGTATGTGTGTGTGTGTGTGTGTGTGTGTGTATGTGAACGACTACTATTTTGCCACCATCGGCGGCGACTCTGTTATTTAGGCCGTGTGGATTTAACGCACGAAAAAAAAAAGAAAAAAGAAATGACGTCGTCATTAGCGTTAGTCGCAGCCGCCGCCGCTGAGCTCAACAAAAACGTGCGGTTCACCATGAATCAGATATAATGAGTCATTCACTATACACAGTAATGTAATATTATTGTACCACGGTGTGCCCACACCACACGACGACAACGACGACGGGCACGAGGACGGTGACGCGTACGACCACTGCGCTTACATACCGACGCCCTACGGGCTCATACAGAACAGACGGGCTGCGGCGGTAAGTGTCCTGCCCGTCGTCCGACCGCCGCCACTCACCCGACGACGCCGAAGCTGCCGCCCCTCCCAAACACCCGCCGTCCCGTCGAAGCCCGCACAGGCGGCGAGACTTACCCATCTCTCGTTCCGCGTTCGCCGTGCTACTCGCGCACGCACGCGCCACTATTCAGCACATACCGTACGACCGAACGCCGCGTCGCCGTCAAACACTCGAGTGTCGTTCGGCTCGTCGCGCAAACATACGACATACGTCGTCGTCACGCTGCACTTTGAGGCGCGCCTTTTCCCGTTTTTACAACAATAATATTATTCCGTTGTTGTTAACGTCGGTGCCTACTTATTATTATTATTATTATTAATGATATTATACGGACACCGGTTGTTTATATTTTGTTTACAAACTGAAGGATAAAATTTGACCGGATTAATATTTTTTATTATTTTGCTCTCTTTTGCAACAATTGGAATTTGATATATTTAATTTTTTTTTCTTAATCTACGCACAAAAATGTCTAAGGTTTCGAATTATATTAAAGCGCTCAACGGAAACGTGAACCTCGCCGCCGACGACGAGCTCAAGGAACAATTTACCAAGGTAACGTTGACACTGCAGTGATAATACTATTATTTTGTTGTTGTTAATAGGCGTTTTTCCATGACCATACGGAACAATAATATAACGATAAAAATATGATGGTTTATAATAACGTTACCCATGTCGTTTGTTTCTGTATTTTTTTGTTTTGAAAAACAAATAAATCGTTCCCTTTCGTTTCATTAAATTCAAGTGTTACAATATTATAATATCTTGTCATGAGGAGAGATGAATATGAAACAGTAAGAACTGTTATGGAAATAAACGTAGGAAACAAGAGGTGAAGGGGAAGACCGAAAAAAGATGGTTGTACGCGGTTGAGAATTATATGAAGATAATCGGTATATGCGAGTTGGGAGATCGGGTTGTTGTTTAGGGTTTGTTGGAAGTTTAAACGAGGGTCGCCGACCACAAATAATCGGGATGAAAGTGAAGGAGAAGAATAATTGTCATATTTACGACTAGGTACGATAAAGATTTGTATGCATTTCCTTTTGATTCATAATGCCGTGCAGTAACTCTGTATACTCGCAACATAATAGACAAAACCCGACGTCTATAACTTTATACATCTGTAGAACAAATAATTGGCATTTATCAGCTTGATTATCTTTCTTTATTGTAAATTATATTCTTTGACATTAATTTATAATCACGAAATTCTTATTCTGATTTTATGGTTTATATTATTAAATTGTCATAATTTATTAGCTATTTTATCAATATTAGTATTATTATTAATTTTAATTATAGGTATAACTTTTAAGTCATTTAAATTTCCCATTAACCTATTTAGGGAGTGTGTTCGTTTTATAAAATAATTATTAGTGATAACATTTAATTTTTTATTATATTTTTTTACAATTATTTCTAAAACAATATTGTTACGAATGAAATTATACATTGTTTTAATAGCTTAAGAAGAATAATAGCTATTTTTTATCTTTATTATATAAGTAACATAAATTATTATAATATGTATCATTTAAAAATATAATATGTAGGTACCTATAATACTCGATGAAAAATGTTTTGTAATCATTGTTTAATTTATTAGTTATTGCCCGGTAATAATTAATAATTTTATCATTGTTTAATACCTACCTATTTACTTAATAAATAATAATTTAACAATATCAAATTTATAAGTTTCGTGAATATATTTTACATCGACCTATACTTAAATTTCAATAAGTTTCATATTTTACTAAATACAAATAGGTACTTACTACCTATTTTAATTTAATTATTTCTATAAACAGATTTTATTCAGTTATCTACTGTTTTTTAGTTTTATACTAGTAATGAAGTTTCTATATTTTATAGTTACCTAGTTTTAAATGATTTGGATTATAAGTAGGTTAGATTAGGATAGTTATTTTATTTGCATGGTAAGTTAAAAAAATAAGATTTTAGTTTTTCATCTTTTATGTGTTTGCCAAACAATATATTCTGTACAAAGAATTAAATAAAATCTGATATTGAGTCTCCTTTACATACCTCCTGGGACATTCTAAAAATCTAAAATGCAAGCTGATTTGATTAAACAGGCCAAAATGACTTTGACCATACCATGTACTACATATTAGTTTAAATGGTCGAAGCGAAATGCAGATTTATCGAGTGTCCAACATAAACAATGATGTTTTATCATAGACCTATAAACTAAGATGAGAAAGTAATTATTTTGAATTTAATATACCATTTAAGTTTGTTACTCTTATTCATTCTTCACTATTAGTCTATCAAATTTCCTGATTTGCCATACACGCACAAATAACATTAAAGTTTGATATATAGGTACCTATTCCCTGCTGCAAATAGGTAAATTTAGGTAGCATTATAGGTATAGAGACTGATATTTTTTTTTAAATATTCAATTACCCCAGAATAAACTGAATTTGTATTATATTATATTATATATTAGTAATGCAGATAGATATAAAGAGAAATAGATTCTTATCTACACACAAATAAATTTAAAAAAAGGGATTACGTATATAATATAAGGCATTTAGGTTAAAATAACTTTAAATAAACATGCCAATTATTAACAAACAGGTACTTATCTGCATTATATTAAATTAATTTTTAGTAAAACAAATTTTATTAAGATCTCACCTATAACAGGGGCCTGCTCACAATACGAATGAGGTATGTTATATAACATATAGGTATATTGTCATCCGATTTACACCTGTTACAACTCTCTCATCAGGAATTAAAAAACAATAAAAAATTAAGATTAGCAAATAAATTTAAATAAATACAACATAATTAAAACTAATTACTTTAATATAAATTTTGGTAGTTAATAGGCCTATGTCGTAAAACAGTGTTATTCATGATGATCACATTATCTGTTAGGCGTTCAGTCAGCCTGCAATGTATTTCTCACGAGGCTGCATTTTGATTAGTGTAATAAAATCAGTCTTTATGTTGCTGACTAGTCTGTATTTTAGACTCGCTCATACTCATACATTTATAACTGTTACATATAATAACATGAACATAATATAACTGTACTATCTGTGCTTAACTTATCCATTTTGTAACAATGAACAATTTGAATATTCGGTCAGTTTACAATCGCGTTTTTAATTTTGATCCTTACAGATCATTAAAACTTTGATCAAAACCTATATTTGCCTACTCGTATTATTTTTTATTAGTTGCTAGGTTAGGTAAATCAAAGGATTTATTATTTTTGTTACAAACTTAACTAACATTTATCTTGAAAATAATAAACCATACTTTTGAAAAAACTAAACCCTATATTCATTCGAAGGTATGGCCTTGATTTTAGTATACCTATTTGTTAGTATAGTATCTATAGGTACAGCTATAAATGTTTGGTATTCTACAAATATATGCTAATATCTTTATTGCACAATATCCTTATAAATATTATGATGAGTACTTAATAATTAAAATGTTTTAGGTACCTACTTTATAACCTATAGCGCAATAGTCAATTATTGACATCTTGAAAATTTATTTTTTGTTTTTATTAATAACTATAGATTGTAAAAAATCACAATATTCTTTAAAAATAAAATGAATAAATTGGATATTATATAGTTGTTACTCAAAAGTTTATGGAACATTAATGTATGGATGTTACAGTTCTTAATAAAATCTTAAATCCTAATAATCCTAAACAATTTGTATAATATTCTACAAGTATTATTTATAATAAGAATTTGATTATCACATTTCGATTTTGTATTATTTACTTTTATATGAGAATTTATGACATTTATATAGTTAAAGATACAAACATGTATTAAATATCCGCAGAACTTACATACATAATAACTATTTTAAGATTTACAAATTAAAGTTTCATAATATCTGAACCATATAAATTAGTAGGTAATGTTCAAAAATGTACAGTTAAAGATCACTAATGTTCATAGAAATGTTCTGCTCTCATATTAGATTTTATTTAGTTATTATTTTATTAACATTCCAAAGATTAAAGTTTAAAGTATATCTTGTATTAAATCCAAGATTACATGCTATACATAGTAATTAAAATGAAACTTGAAATTAGATAAGATCAAAATCAAAAAAGTTTAATAACGGAGGAGAGCTGGTGACATAAATGGCTATTAATAGTATAATTATTTTTAATTTGTAGTATTATGAATGGTTGCTTTAGAGTGTGATAATATTAAGAACTTTTAAATTCATCAGCCTGTGTAATTTGATTGATACATTTGGTGAAATCTGATGTACTTTTCATTCATTTGTGTATATATATATATATATAAGAATTCTTTGATTTTGAGAGATTCTAAGCCTAATTTCCTTAAGACATCTTTGATCAACTGGTCTTTAATATATAATTTAAAAACTATATAACATAGTTATCACTTGTATTTTATCTAGTTGGTTTACCAAACTAACTTAATTGGAGTTCAAATTACAGATCCAAAAATTAGTTTTGAGTATACTTAGGCAATGGGCACAGTAAAATAATTTTAAATAGGTGGCATGTTTAAAATTATCACAAATTATTTATCATTTCTAATATAATTGAACACATTTTTGATGAATTTAATAATCTAGATTAACAAGGTAGGGATTTTTGGATTTATATAACTAATAAATAATATTTGTATACCTTTGTATACATAACCTTACTTCTGTTAGTAGAATAATTAATTATAGGATAATTATAAAATGTTTAAACATCATAATTGACATATTTTATGAATTACAAAATATTTATAAAGTTGTAAATTTCAATTGCGAATAAAACTAATATTTAGTATAAGTATTGAAGTTTTATTTGTTAAAAAAATATTATTTTTTTACATCATTAAAATTAACATACAAAAAACTCACACAGTTGTTATTTTGATAAAGTTATTGAAGAGTTATATTTAAATTTTTTTTTTCAGCAAATTATTGAAATATTATAAATAGTTTAATAATTCAGTAGTTTATAAATAAATTAATAATTTAATTAATATGTATTTAATAAAAAAAACATTACTTATTTGTTTTAGTTTGACAAAAATGGAGATGGAAGTATTGATCTTTCAGAATTACAAGAAGCTCTAGATTCATGTGGCTTTAAGTTGCCTGCATGGAAGGTTCGAAAAATGATAGAAGATTATGATAATAAAAAAACTCAAACAAAGGGCAAACTCGTATTTTCAGAATTTCAAAAGGTTAATTATTATTATCATTTTCTAATTTAACAATACAGTTTTTTTTTTAAATATGTCATGTTCATGTTTTAGTTATGTTCAGATTTAAAAGCTGGAGAAGTAGCTAGTTCATTTAAACAAGTTGTTTCTAAAAAAGAAAACTTAGAAACCTTAGGTGGAATGTCCGATGCATCAAGTGAAGGAACTACACATTCTGTAAGAATAGAAGAACAACTTGCATTTTCTGATTGGATTAATAGTAACTTAAGTCTTGATCCTGATCTGAAGCATTTGCTTCCTATTGCAAGTGAAGGAAAAAATTTATACGAAAAAGTCAAAGATGGAATTTTATTATGGTAAAATAGTATTTATTTAGGACTAATTTTTTAATAGTTATCACTTTATTATAATTGATTTATCTATCTTAGTGTACAAATTAAATTTTTGGATTTTTCAGTAAAGTTATAAATCATTCATGTCCTGACACAATTGATGAAAGAGCAATTAATAAAGAATCAAACAAAAGCAATCTTACTGTTTATAAAAAGTTAGAGAATTTGACATTAGCACTAGTCTCCAGTCAAGCTATAGGTTGTAATATTGTCAACATTGATGCCCATGATCTTGCAAAAGGAAAACCACATTTAGTACTTGGTTTACTCTGGCAAATTATTAGGGTTAGCACTTTTATTTTTATTATACAATGAAAATAAAACATCTTAAATTTATTAAATTAAATTTGTTAAAATTATTCAGATAGGATTGTTTAATCAAATAACTCTAGAAAACTGTCCTGGGTTAGCTACATTATTACAAGATGGCGAAAAAATTGAAGAGCTTATAAAACTATCACCAGAAGCTATACTTTTACGATGGGTAAACTACCACTTGAATCGTGCTGGAGTTTCAAGGTAAATTTAATATTTAATTTGTGTACGACAATTATTGAATAATAATAATAATAATAATTATTGAATTGTAATTTTTAAAATTAATTTTTTAATTATAGACAATGTCATAACTTCCAAAATGATATAACTGATTCAGAAATATACACCTACCTTATGAAACAAATAGCACCAATTGATTCTGATGTTGATATGTGTGCATTAATGGTAATTTTTAAAAGATTTTATAAGATTGGACTGAAGAATATAAACAACTTTTTATTAATTTCATTAGCTAATATCTTTTTTGTAATTAAAAAGAAAACATTTACACTGAACTAAATATTTTACCTAATAAGTTTAATTTACACATTTTTTTTTATGAAAATAATTTGATTTAGATAAATATGTACATTTTAAATGTGATTATTATCAATTGAATTTATTTGTATTTAGGAACCTGATATGAACAAAAGAGCAGAAATGATGTTACAGCAAGCAGCCAAATTAGGTTGTCGTAGTTTCGTTACACCTGCAGATGTTGTAAATGGCGTATACAAATTAAATTTAGCTTTTGTGGCAAATTTATTTAATAATCACCCAGGATTAGACAAACCAGAAGGAGAAATTGCAGGATTAGAATCAATTGAAGAAACAAGAGAAGAAAAAAGTTAGTTTTTAGTTTAGAACAAAAAAGAAAAAAAATGTATACATATTATGTTTTAGAATTCAAACTGTCTAAGTTATTAATTATTAGTCTTACTTATTTATTTTATTTATTATAGCTTATAGGAACTGGATGAACTCAATGGGTGTTGCACCTCATGTCAATTGGCTTTATTCGGATCTAGCTGATGGTCTTGTAATTTTTCAATTGTATGACATCATTAAACCAGGAATTGTTAATTGGTCAAAAGTACATAGGTAAAAAAAAAAATTATATATATATTCAATTTTTAGTAATAGTATTTGATATTCTGTATTTCATTAAATTTTAGGAAATTTTCTAAACTACGAATGTTTATGGAAAAATTGGAAAATTGTAACTATGCTGTTGAATTGGGCCGGCAACTTAAGTTTTCTTTAGTTGGTATTGCTGGGCAAGATTTAAATGATGGAAATGCAACTCTTACATTAGGTTAGTAAAATTTATGTAATATTAATTATTTTAATTATTATGCAAATCTTTTTTTTTCTGATTAATATTTATACAAAATTAAGTTTATATTATATTGTTCGCAAACATGAGTGGGAGTTGAAGGATAGTTGGCATGGTAATTTTGCGAGGTGGATGAATTCCAAGCAGTCGATTGGATGGATTTTGTGAAGTTTTGGATGGCATCATCGACTGCGTCAGGAGTCTTTAAACAAGTGTTTAGGTTAATTCTTAGGTCAATTACTTTCTGAAAATTAGTCCATTTCGTGGAGCCATTTGTTAGATATGTTTTACTGGGTGGGGAGGAAAGAATATAATCCAGAGAAAGGAAAATAGGGGTATGGTCAGAACATGGGTCAACTAGATTCTTTATTAAATGGTTAAAGTTAGTTGGCATTTTTGTGACGAAAATATTGAAAATGTCTGGACGCTTACTGGTAGAGGATGGCCAGTAGGTTGGATTTGGGGGGCAAACTAATAACATAAAAATGCCGAGCCAGATACTAGACTTCTCTCTGACAAAAACACATTCAACAATCTTATCTCAAATCAAAAACAATTCTTTCTACAACTGAACCTCCTCTTTGACAACAAAAAATGGATCTCTCTGGAGGGCTACCCATAGTTAGCTTGAGCAGAAAAACATCCTAGCTCCACTAAAAAATGAACTAGCAACTGGTGTATAACTGTTTTCTCAAGGTGAAATCCAATGTTGCATTAAATCATTTCTTCTTAAAAAATCACCTGGGTTGAATCTTATCACTGCCGAGGTTGCCCGTCAACTCCTTAAGAAGGCACTTGTTCATCTAACTCACATTCTTAATGCAATATTAAGACTATCATACTTCCCACTCCAATCGAAAGTTTCAGTAATCATCTTATTCCAGAAAATCGGCTAACCCCCCCGCCCCCTCCGATATTCCTTCTTCTTATTGTCCTATTAAATGCGTTTCAGTGATCATTAATAATAATAAAGTAATCTCTCATACCCAGTTTGGCTTCAAAAATAAACACTCCACTATTATCCACTATATTAAATCCATCGCTTAACCATATCCTATTCTCTGGAAAAAAAACTCTTTATTGTTTGGACCTTGCTCAAGCCTTTGAGAAGGTCTAGCATACAGGTCTTTTGATAAAATTAAAATAAATTCTCCCCCCTCCATACATCCTATTTTTAAGTTGTACCTAAAAAAATCGCCAATTTATAACACAAGTAGGTTCTGAGTTTTCTGATCTAGCCCCATTAGACAAAGTCTAATGACAATCCTCTTGTCACTAGTCAATAATTACAAAGTTACCTTAATCAAATGGAAAGTAAAATAAACACTGAAAAATCTTCACATATAACTTTCACTCTTTCCAAGGCATCATCCCCCCTTTTTTCTGTCTAATAAAATTATCCCAGCTGTTTCTAGTGTTAAGTACTTAGGTTTGATACTTGACAAAAGCTTAACCTGGGCTTATCATATTAAACAAAAAAGGCTACTCCTAAACTTAAGACATAAGTCACTATATTCTCTATTAGACAAGCAGTCTATGCTCAACTTAAAAATAAATTGCTACTCTACCAAACCCTCCTCAAATCTATCTGGGCCTATGGTGTCCAATTATGGGGAGGGGCAAAAAAATCCAAAATTTACAAAGTGCAGACCTTCCAATTCATATCCTTCCAAATATTAACTAATGCGTCCTTCTTCGAATAACATTCTACACTTCGATCTCAATATACTGACTGTTGTTGAAGTGGCCACATTGTATTATTAGCATTTTCTACCACCCAAATTCTCTAATTCTTTCTTTAAACTCAGCCAACATTTCCAGAAAGTTAAAAAGGCTTAAGAGGCCTGGTGTTGTTATTTGGCTCATTAGACAAGTTAAAAAATCCTACATAAGTATTATAATCTAACTATACTATTTTTCATGAGAAAAGGGTAGTGTTTCGCGCATGTAGCTGAGCTACGTATTATTGATAGTGATGTGGCCCGATAGTGGTAGGAGCCCTGTGCGAGGTGTGCGGCGTGGGAGAATGACTAGTTTTCGTCGAGACTACCGTTCTTTTGTGAAAAATATAGATTTAATAAATAGTTTAATCTCTATCGCATCTAAGTGTTACTGCTGGGTAACTTCTCTTTTCTCTTTTTCATGTCATTTTTAACGAATGTTCATATGCTCATTGTAAATATAATTATAGGTTGTATGTATAATAATAAATATTAGAAAAAAAAAATATTATATTGTATGTTAATTTTATTTTGTATTTTAGCTTTAATTTGGCAACTAATGAGAGCATACACCTTATCAGTTTTGACTCAACTTGCTAATACTGGCAGTCCAATTATTGAAAAAGAAATTGTCATCTGGGTTAACAATAAATTACAAAATGCCAACAAATCATCAGTATTAAGAGGTTTCCAAGATCAAGCATTGTCAGATGGGAGAATTGTTATTGATTTAATTGATTCAATAAAACCTGGTACCATTAATTATGATGTAGTCAAGGAGAGTGATGACATAGAGGTATATCTATTCAAAAAAATATTATTTCTAAGTTGAATAATAATTGTTAACCAAATCATTTGTTTTAGGATAAATTAGCAAATGCTAAGTATGCGATATCAATGGCCAGAAAAACTGGTGCTAGAGTTTATGCTTTGCCAGAAGACATTACTGAAGTAAAACCAAAAATGGTAATGACTCTCTTTGCTTGTCTTATGGCTATAGATTATGTTCCTTACATGGCCATTACTGGAAAGGCAGACTCATAATAAAATAAATATTTCTTATATATTATTAATAATCATCGCCAATTATATATATATTTATATACATATTAATTCATTAATTTATGTTGAACAATTTTTCCATTATTTAATAATCAGCTGCATTTAACTTGTTGGCTGTGATTAACTTTTGATGTAGGATACCTTTTTGTTACTATACATTTTTTTTTTTAAATATTATTACACATAATTAAGTTACTTTAAATTATTATTAATCATATATATTATATGTAATTTAAAGAAAATTAACATGTTTTGGTGTTACCAAAATAATATTATTTTAAACAAATATTGTATGACTTAAATTAAATTTTAAAAAACTGTTTCTTCATACTTTCTTATTTCGGCTTTTAAATATTAAAATAATGAACAATTATTGTAGCTGAAATTAGTAGTAGAAGACTGAATTACCAATGACATTAACCAATGCATTTGTGCCAAAACGTGTTTAATAATGAAATTATATATATAATAATTTATGGGTGGTTAATATTTCTATAGTATTTTCATTTTGTATTGAAACTAAAAATTATTCCCTATAACTCTATTTAAGGACCATTGAGTAAGTTAAACTTAGTTGTCCAAACAAAATGATATTTGTTTTTAATTAAAATTATATACATTTTATCTTTATTTTGTATAAATTCGAGCAAGTGTACTGGTTTAATTCAATAATACATTCCCTATCTAATACTTCTATATTCACAATTTAAGATCAGTTAATTTTTTACCACCAAAACATAGTATACTTCTATTTTATATTATAATACATTTTATTATACTTTATCTTTAACATAAATATATGTGTACTTAAGATTCTAATGTTATTATTTTTTATTAATTTTTGATATTCATTATTTATTTATATTTTTTCTTCATTAAAACAAGCTTAATTTATTAATTTGATTTCAAAAAAAAAGCTTGTTAAGTAATTTGAGATTTTCATAATTGTAATGATTATTATGATATATTAATAATAATAAAATTAATTTAAATTTCAGAGTTTTCTGATAATTTATATATAATTAATGAATATTAGAGATTGGCCAATTTATCTTTATTAGGATGTATAACATTTTTGGTAAAAAACTGAGCCAATATTAACACTGTTATTCATTATTTTCACATCTGTATGATAATGATTAATGATATTACCTACCATGACCAAAACTGTCAAATTACTTTATGTTATGTCAGTTCTGATATATGTTAGTATATATTATGTATCTACAAAACATAAAACATTTTTCTCATTTAATTTTAGGTTCTGAGTAGAGCAAGGAATATATTGGTTTTAAAAAGATGTTTTTTTTGTACAACTATTTTCCTACCAGAAATTTTGTTTAGATTTCCCTAGGGGTTTTCATAATAAATGGGATAAACCAGACAATTTAATGTGTTATTCTTAAATCATAAATATTACACTTTCAAAACATGTATAACCAAACTGTTCAGAATCACTTTTTGTTAGTAAAGATTAATCATTATGTATAGATATATACATTAAATTCCCTGATATATTCTACCTTCCCAACTTTTCACTTACAACAGTGGCTCACTCATCTTGTGAAGTATGTCCATCTTTTATTTAATTGATATCTTGGAGTAGTACATTTTTGTAGAAGTATATATTTTTCATGTTTTATACTATTTTAAATTAAATGTTTTCTTCAAATATTCTCATATTTTATAGTAGAGTAATAATAATAATATATCTAAGATAAAAATCATAATTTGTGTAAACAAATAATCAAATTAATTGATTGTTGATAATTTGTAGATTGATATACATTTGTATTATTTTAAGTATAACTTAAATAAAACTAACTAGTTTACACTAATATAATTTATTTGAATACTACAAATATGTGTTCTACTAAATATGATTTCTTAGATTATTCTTTCGTTGAAGTTTTATAATGTGTTTAACCAATAGATGTATGTAAAAATAAACATTTTTAAATGAAAATTGTTTTGTTCTAACACGTATTTATTGTATCAATTTAGAAATTAATAATATTTTTACTTTTAATCTCCAGTTTTCATAAAAATTAAATTATAGTGAAACTTGTCTTGACTGTTTAATAATGATTAGTTTAATTCAATACATTGGTATAGAGAATAATATTTCTCCCTGTTGCAATGATAACAAACAAAAATTTTACAATAAAACCAAGAAATTAAAAAAAAATACTGTTATAGTTAATTTAGTGTTGTGAAGTATTTTGGTATTAAAAATAATTTTATAATTGGTTAAGTATTTTATCTGGTTGATAAGATCTTCTAAAATTAATAAAATAAGTACTTGTTATATTATAACCATTTATTAAATTTAACAGAAGAACATTGTAATTTTTATTTTGCTATGATTGTACATATAAATAGGAAGAATTAAGTGTGAATGGTATAGTGAATGTAGTAACACTTTCATCAATCTAGAAAAAAAAAACTAATTAATCCAACTGTTAATAAAATACTTAAGGATATACATTACATTGGTTCTTGGTTATAAGAGAAAAAAATTTAAATTATAATTTTGTTTTAGGACGTCCATATTTTTTTCATTACTATAAGAAAGTATAATGACTCATTTCCTTCCTGTGCAGTTAGAGGGTAGTTTTATAGTTTTTTGAGTTTTACTGAAAATAAATAGCACTTAGCATGTAAATGTATGTATAATTACTTGTATATAATCTTATTAATAATATTGAATATAAAAATGTCCTTACAAAAATTACTCGTAAATACATTTTTTCCAAGAAAAATAAAATAAAATACTTAATTTATTTTTCAAAATTAACTATTTTAATAAATTATTTAAATATAGTTGACAAAAAATCTATCTAGTATCAATGATGTTATTGTATTAACTACCTTACTTGAATCAGTTTTATCCATTGGGCATGCCCAATGATTAATTTAATATAGTTCATCAAAAAAAGAATTTAGATTTTATGACAATTTTAAAAGATGGAGAATTATTAATTTCTCAAAGTAAACTAAGTCATTTTAGATGAATACGTTAAGGGGACATTAGTTTAGTAAATAATAATAAAAAAAAAACAAGGTAATGTAATGAAATAATATTGTACAATCATGTTTATCAACATTTTAAAATCTTTTGTGGTATTTAAATGAGTAATTTATTACATTTTCTGTATTTGATGAACTGATATGAGATATTTGAAAAAAAGTTTGAATTTAAAATTATAAGTATGGATACATCAGTTGAAGAAGACCAATTAAATAGAACAGAAATTCAATATATTTATTGGGAAGGAACTTATCTCTTTAACTCTTTAAAAATAGTAATTATAAAAGAGGTGTGCAATTAATGGAGGAGTTAAATTGAAAATTCACAAGAAATCAATAATAGAAACAATTTTTATTGTAAGTAATAAGATATTATCTTAGATATTTTTATATTTCCAATTGATTTAAAATTTTTAGGTTATTCTATAATATTGACATGCATCTTCTTCTGACACAAAAAAAAAAACTGGAGGTCAAATTTTATTGCTTAAATACTAATAAGTATATTAAAGTTTTAAAATAAAATACAATTTCAGTTTTATAACCATTGTGTTTATTTGTTGTTTTACCCTACCATAAATTGTACTGGTTAATCCTAAGCAATTTTTTTTAATAATCTTTTTTTGTGTAAAATATAATTTATTATATCTTTATTGGTTTTTGTCAACTATATTTAAATAACTGTAAAATAATATAATTTGCCATATAAATTAAATATTTTCTTTCATAATTTTTGTGGAACTAATAAATTTATGAGAAATTTGAAACATTTTTTATAGATTACAATATTATAATTTACAGTTTAAGTCAAAAAACTATAAAAGTACCATCTTTCTCAAATGTTTAACTCTTTTGCGGCATTGGTAGGGGTAAGTCATCACCACTAAAATTAACATAATTTAACCTAAATTATGTTAATGTAACAATGAAAAAAAGGGAGGTCTTGAAACAAAAATTCGAAAGTTCAAAAATAAGGGTCAGCCTGAATATACATATTATAATAAATATTAAGAAAATGTTTTATTACCTTAAATATCTAATTTTAAAAATATTAACCACTTCTCTTTTTAATATATTGGACCATTAAGAATGGCAGAGAAAATCCAGAAGACACGAAAAGTGTATAATATAGAGTGAACTTATACTTGTTGTAAACGTCAAACGGCAGATTCTAAATTGTAAAAAACAAAAATAGAATTAATTAACTAATTTAGAAATGTACATATTAAACATTTAAAATGAAATATTGGGTAGGTACTGTAAAATAAATGTATTTATAAGATGTGTGCATAGATATTTCCAACACAGGACTTGAACTTCCATTTTTTTAAGAGGATAAAAATATTAAACTTACTGCACTTTTTAGTAAAAAATAAGTTAGATGGATAAAATGCATGATTATTATTCATATAGTTCTGTATAATATATCTGAAATAAAACCTATAGCTATAGTGATGGCTAAGATTGTAAATATTGTGTCCTTCAAATTTAAATTACGCATCTTATCTGTCCATAGTGCAAGTGGATAGGGGCTAACTGGGCCCTTTTATTTTAGGGTCACTTAGCTATTGCTTTTAATTTGAACTAATCAAATCAAACATATTAGAGTATTGTACATTTTAATATATACAGCACTTAAAATGCATAGGCACACATAAGGGGTGTTTAGAATTTATAAGTACCTTCCAATTTTCCTGAGTAATTAATTTCAATACCTATTTCACAAACCACTTATTATATATTGTAGTTAAACACTTGCAAGGTTAATTTAAATGTATATTAAACTGCAATTACTAATCTATTGTTTAAAATTTTTATAAATTTATTATACACAAAGATAAAATTATAATATCTTTAGAGATATTAAATTAAATACCTATTGTTTATATATTAAGATATTTTGGGAATTTCTCCAATTTACCAGGAGCTATTTATGAATTAGAAAACTTGAAAAAACAATATAAAAATTAATATTGAAATGTTTAAATTTTATTTTCTTCTGTGACGCGTGAATGCTCTTTTACAGTTATGGGTACAATGAAAAACTGGTTACATGTAAGTAGGTATATAGATCAAGAAAATTTACCAAATTCACCTTAGATCCTAAGGAATCTTGCTAACCAGTTAGATGGTGAGGTAATCTTCAAAACAAATTTATACTGTCAAATAGAAAAGTCCAGCTTATATAAATTAAATTGTTTATAATCCCTCAATTTTTCATACCATAGGACTGTGCACTACAAATTTTAGCCCCCCTTACTTCTCACCCAATATACGGGTAAAGGTGTCTGCGATACTATTACTGCTTAATTCTTTTTAATACAACAGTAGGTACAATATCAGAACATTATATTTTTCATATATTTAATATCGGTTCTGTGAACCATTTTATTGTATTTGATTAAATAATTATTTTGATACCAACATTTTCATACAAGAACTGTATTTCAATGCCTAAAATAATAATATTTTAAATAAAATAGTAAAAAAATAAAATTTTGGACCATTCAAAACAAATTGCAGTGGCCTGAATTTGGTGTCAGTCCGACCATCCGTGGAATATTTTATTCAAGTTTAAAAATTAATGTTTTAAATTTAGAATTAAAATAATTAATGAAGGAGAAAATTGTAGGTGGGTACCTAATAATTTCAAAAATACCTATGATTAGCTTTAATTTCATATAAAAATATATAATTCAATAATATAGCCTATAAGTAGTAAGGTGGGTAATGTGATACACACGTTATTTTTATACTTACACTTCCAGGACCTTTATACGCATGATCATCACTATATCCAAGGCTTTTTTTTTGTTTTGCTACGGTTTTCGAAAACTGTCTGATCCCCTGTACGGTCTTTGAACCAAACATATTTTAATAGTTTTAAATTATTAAATGACAAAAATATATTGAACACGCTTCTGATCGTTCGATGTTACAAGACAACGCGTTGAATTAGTAGATACAGTACTAAAATGACTTAACCAGTAACCGAAGTGTAGTTCTAACATAGCTGCAGTCATTAAGTCGTGTCCTATAATAACTCATCGATGGACGATGACTGATAACGAAATGACTATAAAGCTGAATCGCAGAAAAAAGGTCGCTGTCTACGTAAAATTAATAAACGGTATTTAGACGAAAATTGATAAGTTCCTTGGAAAATATTAGATGAAATAATAAATGGTGTCATCTGATAATATTTTAATATAAAATAATACCTGTGCCTATACATGTATATAACTATAATATTCTATGTTTTTAACTTTACAATATTATATTATAATTGGCAATATAGCAAATATGTATTTTGAAACACATCAATTATTTTGTTAAATCGAAGAGCGACATTTATTATACTTTTCAATTGAGAGTTTTGGATATCTGTCATAAATCTATTCGTACTTCAAACTTTTTTTTTATTGAATATTTATTATCAATTTATATAATTTAGCACAATAAGTAAATGAGATGAATACAATTATTTTTCATTTAAGTGGCATAAGAAGGAAATTGGGATGGAGGTAAAGAAAATGTAGGAAATCAAACTACTGATATTTTAAGCATATTTGCGTACTTTCCGTATACTTATCAGTTTTCATTTTCCGACTTTTTCCGGTTTCCCCAATTATTTCAAAAACTACCGAAAAAATTATTAAACGACTCTTATTCACCAACTAGAATAAAAATGCAATAAAAATAGTCTTGTTTTGTTTTTTTTTCTATTAAAGCAATATTTGTGGTAGAAAACATAGTTTTCAAAAATTAAAAATAATGAAATCTGTAACGCCGTGGCACACGTACAGTGAGAATGAAATTTACAGTACGTTTCACGAAACTAGTGACTCTGTAGTGGCTAAATGAACTAGACAAATTTTGTTTTTTTGAAAATAAAAATGCTGAGAAGTCATTAATTTTGTTTAGCTATTGAAATATATCAAATAATAATAAAAAAAAATGTTTGATTGTTAATAAGAATTTTTATAATATGATTAAAAAAATATTTTTTTTTTAAAAAAGTCCCTAAGGGTTATAAATCATTAAAAAACACTTTTGTGGTCTTTTTCTTTTTGTCAAAGATTTGAGTACTCAATTTCATAACCAATAAATACATTTGCAGAGGAAGTTCTCAGCCATAAGAATACATCATTTTTCATAGCGTTCTGCTGCATCTGCAACACCCAAAAATCATGTTGTCATAAAAAATGGTGTTTTTAAAATTTTATATTACGATGTGATTTAAATCGTGCTAAAATGTATTACAAAAGTTATATATATATATATATATATAGGGTCCAATCCTCAGTTAAAAATAACTCAAAATACTTTTTTAAATTCAACAATGACCGTAAGCATAACAACGCTATAGGTACTTAAATTGATGTCTTTTGGCAAAATATTGTCAATTTCTATTGCTAACTACTTTATTAACTCTTACTTTAACTTACGAATACCTCACATTCTTTATTGATTTTAAGTTCTGTTCTAACTAAAATCTTTAATTTATCGCTCAAGTCAGGTATTTTCTCCTCTCACTAAAAGTCATAATTTATCTCTCCAGTTTAATAAGCGATAATTCATCTCTGATTTCGAACTATCGTCCAATTTCAAAATTATCAATCATTCCTAAACTTTTCTCTACATAAATATTATTAAAAATGAATAAGTATTGTTCTTCATTCCTTAATAATAATCAATTTGGTTTTGTACCTAAGCGCTCTATTAGCACTTATCTAGCCCTGATTAAAAATACGATATTACAATCTTTTGAATGGAACACTTAAACAGATATCATATATTACATTGACTTTGCTAAAGCATTCAATAGAATTGACCACGATATTATTTTTTTTGGTTTCTCTGGCTCTTTGCTGTTATAGTATCGTTCTTTTCTATTTAACCGTCTTACCTCGATTAAGCACCAAAATTATGTATTTGCTTAGTTTGAAATCCCCGCAGGCGTCCCCCAAGCTGATTATTTCTCTACTTTGTTTTTTAACATTTAATTAAATGATCTTCCAAATGTCATCAAGTATTCTCAACTGTTTCTATTTGCTATCGATGCAAAATTCTTGAGTGCCATAAAAACCAATTGGGATGCAATTAATTTACAGAGTGATATCAATAATCTAGAGGAATGGTCCACAAATAACTGCCTCGCTTTAAATATCGAGAAGTGTAAATTCATGGGCTACACTCTAAAAAAGAAAGCAATCCTATTTGATTATTCTAAATCAGGAACAACTCTCGAGTTAGTACTCAAATTCAAAGATCTTGGGGTATTATTCAACTCTAAAATGAATTTCTTCCACTACACTGAAATCATTAAAAACAAAGCTATGCGTAATTTAGGATTCATCAAAAGAATATATCGATCATTTAATAACCCAACCGTCCTGAAAACACTTCACTGCTCTCTTGTCCATTCTAACCTCGAATATTGCCCTCTAATTTGGATTAATAATACAATTAAACAAAATGAAACCATTGAGTCAATACAAAATGATTTTTTACGATTCATTTCTTATTGTCTATCAAGTTCGATATCCATAGGTCTACTCATGAACCATTCAACAATCTTCTTAGGTTTTTAACCTATCTACTCTTAACGACAGGCATTCGTTTTTGCTCTCCAAATCTTTATACAACTTAATATTAGGTTTTACTGATTGCCCTGAACTCCTTTTCCTAATTCAATTAATTCAATTCAATAATATTTATCACCTGTATGTACCTACAAACAGTTATCTGGTTAAATACCTATAAAATCTTGACTGGTAATGAATGTGTCAAATCATCAGTTCAAGCATTTTAGAGCTTGTTTGAGCCTGTACATGATTTTATGTAATTTGCAAATTAAAGATCAGTTTTCAACAAAGCCTTGAGGCTGTTCCGTATATACCTCTTTATCCAATTGGACATTAAGAAAAACTGTTTTTACATCAAGCTGACACATACATAAATTACATTTACATTCATATACATTTTTTTGATTTATGACACACAATAATGTTCATAGTATGGTTATGTTTGCTACAGGGAAATAAGTTTCCTTATAATCAAAGCCTGGTTGTTGTAGGCAACCTTTTGCCACTAACTTTGTTTTGTATAGTTTTTTGTCACCTTCAGTTGTAAATTATTGACAAAGGTTTTCGCTGACAATTTCATGGTGTAGGATGATATTGTAATGCCATAATTATTTAAGTATTCGGGTTTTTCAATCAAACGCTTTGATCTACTATAATCCACATACATTTTTTTAGAAATTTGTTGAACATGTTGATTGACTTTCTCTTGTACCTATTTAACTGTTCTTTTAATTTTGAAAAATTGTCTTGGATATCTTTAACAACATTTTTATTATGTTGAATATTAGATTTATCTTAAGAGTTAATTGTACTCAACACATCATTATGAACATACAAATTTAAGAATTTATCCACTAGATTCATCAAAGATCACATTTCTAACAATGAATATATTTTTTTCAAGTAAATTCCACAGTCTATACATGCTTCGAGTAACCAACTATGACACATTTAATTGACTTTGGATCAAATTTTCCTCTTTTAACCTTAGGTATTTCTGACCAGGCTGTTGCACCAATAACTCTAATATTTGACACATCTAGTTTTTTTAAAAATCACATTTGAGCATGAGTTTTCTCCTCAAGTGCTGACAAGTGCTCAAGTAGATGAGCGATTTATTAAGTATGCTGCAGCACATACAGCTTCATCCCACATATTTTGATCAAAATTGGAGTCTAATAGCATAGCTCTGCCCTTTTCAACCAAGAGTTAAGACCAGAGAGACCATTCTGCTCGGGTCTATATGGAAATGTCATCCTATTGTAGTATTTTTTTATTATATTAAGGCATTTGCAAATAGTGGTTCTTTAAATTACAACTATAAGAGGTCTAATATTATTGTTTTGTTGGTATTATGTGATGCTAGTTATAATTTCATATTAGTCAATATTGGATCTTCAGGTAGATGCAGTAATGGTGGTATATTTAAAAATAGTTTTATTGGGAAAAGTATACTCAGCTAAAGTATAGATTTTCACTGGTGTTGGAGCTATACCGTTTCACTATGATAAATAAAATATTAATAAGCAATATTGATAGTACATTTATATTTAATAATTATTTTGACTAGTATTTCTATAGATACTAGGCACTTAATAGTATACAATAAATTAAATTTTAAAAATATTAACTTTTATAATATCACATAACTTTTTATTTAATAATTTATTCCTTCGTTTTTAGTTCCTCTCTTACTAGTTCTAATACCTTGTCTTCAACTGTAAGCCTTGTACTTACATCTTTAAAGAGAATCAAACGAGAAGCTTTCAACTTCACAGTTACGTTTGATTAGAATAGAATCGTGTAATGTTACTATTTGGTATAAACAGTATCAAAAGTATGGTTCGACGAATCAAAACGTTTGTATAAGAACACGACACGAAACACGAAATAAGTGTGCAGATGCCTTTATTATAAAGAACTGATTTTTTATTTTGTACATAGATAGCGCTAGATACACAGGTTGCACCGTTTGAAAACATTTTTAGGTCCACTGATTTGATTTTCGTTTCCAGATTTGTGTATCTTAGTTCATTCTCACAATATTTATTGCATATGTTGGTCATGTTGGCTAAATAATGTGTTGATATGCCTTTGTTCGTTTTATATTACATCATTCTACGCAATAAATATTATTACAAAGTAAATTTGACAGTCGTTGACTGAACGTGTCGTTTTATTAGTTTTTTTTTTTTTTGACTCAAGAGCCACACATTAACCAAATATTTAATAATTAGCATTGTTCAAGCCAATAGGTAAGCAAATTCGTTTTTCATTAAATAAATATAAAACCATTATTTTCTAATGGAAAATAATTTACAGCTCTTTATTTAATCCCCAATATCTTGTAGTTGAGGGGCTTGGAATCGACGAGTTTCTTATACACGTGAGATATAGAGATTTAAATGTGTTCTAATTCAAAAATACTGATTGATTTATTGAAGCAATAAGAATTGTGGAAACAGATTTGAATTTGTCGTGAAGTCTACTTGAGATCAAATTTAACATTTTTTAAGTTTAACTCATTAAATTCTAAAAAAAAAGCCAAACTAATAAAATAGTAATTGAAAAAATGCTATATTTTTTTTAATTTTTTTGGTAAATAAAATCAAAAAAATAGGAAAGTTGATTTCAAGTAGATTTCATGATAAATTCAAATCTATATCCCTATATTTCCAGTGTTTAAGACAAAGACAATTGAAACTTAGATCCCCTTAATAGTCATAATAACTTAAAAAATAATATAGGTCAAATATTTCCACAACAATTAAATAACAGAACTTAATTTTTTTAAATTCATGATCCTAGGTATATATTAATGATTAATTATTATTTCTGGAAGTTTGATTAGTAAGGACACAATAAGAAATAAATGCATTATTCACACATTTCCTTGTTAACTTAAGTTCAATTTAGTTAACTAATTATTAGTGTTTATTGATAAATGTCTGAATAGATGTGTTAGTTACAAAAAAGTTAAAACAATAATAAACTGAAAAACCCAAGATAATGGTGAATTCACTATATTAGTTCTAATGAAGGTAGATGATTACAACACTTTTCATTTACTTACTTGTTCTTTATCTACCTTGTTAAATGTTTAATTTTATCTTATATTTTGTAAAAGAGATTGTAGATTGAACAATTATTTTTTATTTATAAGTACTAACCTAATCAATTATTAAATTATCTTGTATTCAAATTTCAGAATTTTTTAAAATAAATTATCAACTATGGATGGTGAGAAAGAACCCATGTCAAGGAATGTTAATTCCAAGGAAAAAATAAAAAACAATGATTCTATTCCAGAATTAGATTCAGAACCACCTAAATTGATCATAAATAATCCTCCATTCATGTATAGTAACAAATTACAGAAGCCAAGTGACTTACAAGATGACCTAAATGATTGTTTGATTAATCTACCAAATCCTGGAATTATCAATATTACTGATGTTAATGAAGATGAATTTAATAAAGTGGTGTTTGGAAATGAAATCCAAGGAACATCAAAAGGAGAACTCAAAGAACCTGAAATTAAGGTTACATCAAAAGATGAATTTATGGTCATTGATACTGAATCTGCATTTGAAGATGAATTAATGCTAATCACTTCAGATGACGAAATTGAAATAGTATCTGATGAAGAATTGTCTACTAAAAATAGGCCAAAAAAATTGAAATTGAAGAAAATTAATAATGAACGAAAAGATGAAAACAAAACTCAAACAAATTTTGAAGCCGAAAAAGTACAGTCAATTACTGAATTTGATAAATTGTGGCAAGTTGTTAGAGATGATTCTTCAAATTTTTCTGGGTGGACTAATTTACTAAAATATATTGACCAAGAAAATAAAATTGTGAAAGCAAGGGTAGCATATACTCAATTCTTAGACCTATATCCTTGTTGTTATGATTATTGGATAAAATTTGCAGAATTTGAAAAAAGAAACAATAATTTAAATAAGGTTGAAGTAATTTTTCAACGTGGTTTAAGAACCTTACAGCTTAGTGTTGACTTATGGTTTAATTATATGACTTTCTTAATGGCTTACCGTAGTGATAATATTCATTATATTCGTGGCAAGTTTGAAGAATGCTTAACAAAGTGTGGTCTTGTGTATTATTCTGATCGTCTATGGGATATTTACATTAAGTGGGAAATTAATCAAAATGAGTTAAAAAATGTTTTTGACATATATAATCGGCTTCTTGTTACACAAACATTTGGTTATTTAATACATTTTGAACATTTTAAAGAATTTGTAAACAAGAATGAGCCATATACATTTTTAAATGCTAAAGAATATTTTGAATTGCGACAGCAAATAGCTGAAGAACTGAAAATAGATGAAAGTAATGAATTTTTGCCAGATGATTCCATGGCCCAAGGAAAAAATGGAAATACATTTTCATCTGAAGTATCTGAAAAAGAATTATTATTAATAAAAGAAGCAATTATTGAATCAAAATACAAAATTCATCAGAAAACAGCCAAAGAAATTGAAAAGCGCCAAGTATTTGAAGAAGGTATTAAGAGACCTTATTTCAACATAAAACCATTGGAACTAAGTCAGATTGAAAACTGGAAACGTTATATTGAATTTGAAAAGGAAACCAAAAATCATAACCGAATTGTTATTATTTATGAAAGATGTTTGATACCATGTGCATTATATGAAGACTTCTGGTTAAGCTATGTGGAATATTTAGAATTATCGCCTTATGATGTATGTGATTTATTACACAATTTATTTACGCGAGCTTGTGTAGTTCATCATCGCAAGTCACCCAAATTACATTTTAAATGGGCAGAATTCGAAGAATTCAAAGGAAATGTGAACAAAGCTGCTGAAATTTTGAAACATATTGATGAAGTTGTTCCACATACATTACACATAGTTAATAGGCGTATTAATTTGGAGAAAAGAAGAAACAATTATGGTAGAACATGTGAATTATTTGAACATTATATGGACATTTATCAACAGGATATGTTCTCAAAATCAATCATTGCTATAAAATATGCACGTTTCCTTTGGAAAAATGCAAATGAAATTGAGAAGGCGATCCAAGTCATCACAGAAATCATCAATGAAGATAAGAAAAATATGTACTGTAATGAAAGACTACTATTACAACTTATTGAGTTAAAAATTAACTTGAAGCCTTTAAATGTAAATTCAGTTATCCAAATGTTTGATGAAATAATGGTAATGGATAATATTAGTTTAAAACAAAAAGCATTATTTTCTCAGCATAAACTAGAGTTTCTTGAAGAATATACTTGTGATTATAAATCTTTAGATAATACTACTGATGAGTTCCTGACATATTCAAGTTTATCAAAAACACAGGAAATGGCTGAATCCTGGGATTCAGCATTGGCTAGTTATAACCACCAATACTATATCACTGGGTATTATCATCAGCAATATATGGCAGCATACAATCAATACATAAATGCTGGATTAGTTGATCCAAATGAGTTTTATCCAAATGAGGTTGATCCAAATGAGGTTGATCCAAATGAGGTTGATCCAAATGAGGTTAATCCAAATGAGGTTGATCCAAATGAGGTTAATCCAAATGAGTTTGATCCAGATGAGTTTGATTCACAAGAAGATTAAAATCAAGCATGGGAGCCATAAAATTATAACAGCACTGATGGAAGTTAACATTAATTTTAATTATAGGTAGTATACTGGTGTTACATGCTATTATTAGTGGACAATATTTATTTATTAAATACAAATTTAACTAACATCATGAAAGAATAGTTAATAAAATAATTCTCTATTATAATATGTTATATATTTTATTATTAGGATTAAAATTAAATGATATTTTATAGACTCATCTGTTTTTAGATCTTCATAAATAATAAATCAAAAATCATAGTTTTTCTTTTAATTAGATAATTTCCAATATATATTCCCAAAACTTCATACTAGAAATTTGTATTATTTCATTAACCATACATGCAGAGGCAGTGAAGAAGGGGTAAATGAAATTCAATTTCTGATATTTGGAATTTTTAAGTGTTTAAGCAGAACACTCTAAACATTTTTATAAAAATAAACAAATAGTTTAATCTATGATAATATTATAATTTTTAAGCATACCCAGTTTTTGCGAAATTTCAACATAACATGCTCATTGTTCTACACATACTATGTTGTAGAGAGTTGATTTTAGGTAAAAATTCAAATAATTAGCCATATAACAAAAATTATTAATTTCAACTACGTATAATATATTTTATATATATTAAGTTAATATCAATTTTTATACATAAAACTAACTAAGAATTTGTATAATTTTGTTTTAAGCATTTATTTTAACTATACAACTGTAATTCATTCATTTGAAATAAGAATATTATGTGTATAAATTATATGTTTGATGTGAGTTTTGTAAAAGAAGCCATTTTAAAAATAATTTTTCTCGTCTATAGTTGCCCAGACAAACTATTTATTTTTGGTCGAAATGATTTCCTTCATGCAAATTACCACCACCCAATATTTTAAGGGCTTTTGGGTTCCAGTTCCTATCTCCTTGATTGGCAACATAAGTAATAATTGATTTCTTAAATAATGTCTACATTTTTATATTGTATTTTATTCAAATTCTAGTTAACATGAATGCATTATTTTGATAATTTTAATTGATGTGAAATTTTTATTTTTAAATATGTTTATCATAAATTGATAAATCTAACAAATTTGAATTTGTATTGTAAACAATCATTTTTAGAAATGATACAGTTGATTGTAACTTGTATTGAATTAGTTTAGTTGAATACAGTTTAAATTAGGAAATTTTGTGTAATGTGCAATGTTACCCACAGCATTTATATATTGTTTATTATTGTTTTTAAGTTAAAAAATTAATTATCTGTATACACTTTTCTTATTGAAATTAAATAATCTAACATAATTTTATTAATGTACTATTATTTAGTATAAACAAATTATAATTGGTATACTTTTTTCTGTTGACAGTATTGGTATTGATGTGGTTTTTATAAATATATATAATGTAATACATTTATTATGTAATATGTATGTGTAATATAGATTTATGTAATACTGAGTATAAATACTCAATAGTAATACTAATGTAAATTAAGTTGATTTAAAATATAAATGTTGTAAATTCCATTTGGTAGTACTATATCCTGTTTAAATTTGAAATGTTTCAAAAAAAAAAAAAATGTGAAATACATGTTTTGATTGTGTAGACCATATAATTTGTATTAGGGATTTTATAATAGTATATAGTAGATTGGAAAATCTATGCCACTCTTACAGGATTTTAATCTTATCGCTATCCTCATAGATATATAATAATCACAAATATATGCTTTACCTTGTATTAATCTTTTATTATTTAATGTTGACTCACCCATAAATTAATGTAATAAAAATAATAATATTTAGGATAATAAAACTTTTGAAATTTAAGAATTTCATGTAACACATTGACAGTTTATAACATTGGTACATATATAAATTTAAATAATAGAAAATACCATAAAATATTTGAAAACAAGAATAATTTATATACATCATAATGAATAACAATAAAATATTATTTAAAATAATAAAAAAAACCTTTAAAATTTAAAGTTTATATCCAACTTATACACAATAAATAATATTTAAAATAAACTTATTAAAATGTAAATTGTATAGCAAAACTTATTTCTTTTTCTTTCAATTTCTTTTTCAAACAATTTATTTGTATGAACTATTAATTTATTTTCTAAATTGTATATTATTTTATTCCTGCAGAGGGATAAATTAAACCAAGACCTGAAAATAGCCAACCAAAACTGACTTGCATTGAAGGAAACTTTATTTTTGTAAGTATATACAATTCTGGATACATGTTTTCCACTGATTTCCAAAATTGTAGTACGTTTATTTTGTAACTTATTCTATTTTGATTTAAATAGTATGTTTTAAGTAAATTCATAATCATTACAGAAGTAGAGTTTTGACTAGAATATAATACTTCAATACTTTTTCCTGCAAAAATTGTTTTAAGACAGTCAAAATTTTGATTAGAATTAGAATTTTCACTTTAAGAAAATTCCATTATCATTTATATAAAACCAAATATAAATTAAATAATTAATCACCATATTATATTAAATTTAATGTGATTTTGAAGCGAGAATCTTGGAATAATCTGCCAATAACACTTTGTTATTCATAATAAACTGTTCTGTATTTTCCATACATTTTACTAATTTATTAGCAAATGAATCTTCATTGCACATGTTTTAATTTTGCACAAAATCAATGTACAGTAAAATCTGACAATGTCAATTCTTAATTTTGTAAGTTTTTAATATTTTAATTTTGGCAGCTATTAAAGGTTTTGCATGCATTTCTATTTGCTGCCAATCAAAATTATTCAAACTAATTTTTTACAATTTGGGATCATTTGCAGTCATAATTTATGTAACTTATTCAAATACTGTATCCTTTCTGTCATATCATATGTGGAATGCCAATGAGTCAGACAGTCCAGAATTGATAGTTTCAGTTAAAGATTTGGTTACATAGTTTGCAAACTAATATGTGTACTTTATTTAACAATTTTTCTACACCACTATCTTTTAAGCTGTCTATAACAGCTAGTTGTTGAGTGAACACAACAAATACCTATAATAAATAAAATTGCTTATTTAAATTTGATTATTTAAAAAACATAAGTGTTCAACAATTATACTTTAATTAAAAGTTCTGCCAAAAAAATTATGCTTAGTAATTTATAATACCTAAATGTATTGAAACAGAACAATTCTAAAGAATTTGAGAATTGTATAGAATTCTCAAATTTAATAGCTTATTAGTAGCTATTTTTATTAAAAATGTGGTAAATTTAAATTGAATTGAACCTAAATTAATTAATATAGAAAGAATGTATTATTATATTATTATTTGTATTGCTCATCTGTTATGAGTCATAATAAAATTACCAGTAAAAATTGAACCATCACCAAAGCTTTACAATAGAATATCATTTAAGATTCGTTCAGTTTGTTCATAAGTTGAATCAACACATTCAATATCTTCTTGAATAAACTACCTATTGGTTCGTCATCAAATTATAAACAATCTGCACTAGTTTCACTATTAAAAAAAATAATAAGTATACACAATTTCAATTGTTGATAAGTAATTAAAATAAACATTACATACCTAAATTAAATTTGACAGGTATAGTAGTTTTAACATATGTATTTGTCCAAACTCTAAATATGTAAATTTAACTGCAATAAATAATCAAACATTTAGTTTAAGAAAAGAAAAATCTTTATTTTTTTATCACTAAATGCATAATTTGAACTTTTTTTCATTTCTGAACTTCAGAGAGAATTTTAGTAATTTCATTCAGATATCATCTTGAACTGATTCATTGAGTAATTCAATTGAATTTGACAATGGCTGTTGACACATGCTTTTTAACTAAATTGATTGCTTTTAGTATGTTTACATTCCTATCAGATGTAATTGTCTACATTTTTTTAAAATAATTAAAATTGTTTGTCTTGAATATATACCTGTAAAATGTAAGCATGAATAAGAACCATGAAATGTAAATTGTGTTAAAAAAATATATTTTCAAGTTAGAATTTACCAGTATGCGAATCTGTTAGTTCTATTAATCTAAGTGTTCTGAGTTAAATAGAAACCTCTACTACATACTGGATGTGCATACCTTAAAATGACCTATTTAGTCAAGTAACTGCATCTAATTTGAGAGAAATAAGTTTAAAATTAGTTTAAGTTAATTATTTCTTATTTATTAAGGATCGACTGTTGGTGCAAGAATTCACTGTTCATGTAATGTTTCCTAGAAGTAAAAGTAATATATTATTAATTATTATACAGTAAGTTAGTAAGTTTAGCTGAGCTAAGACAAAAGAACAACATTTTTACTTTATGGAGTTTTAATTAATTTTGAGTTTCTTCTGAAATCCATTCAAAACTGGATCAAGTATTCTAGGAAATCCCATATTGTTCAACATACTGAATGGTTGTCCATTAATTATTACAAGATCAATTATTGTTATGATACAATATTTATTCAAAAATATTTTCATCAGTTATGCAAATAATAATTTCAAAATATGAGGATATATGTGTTTGCATTTAATTAATATAATTTATATTTTTTTTAAAAAATCAATAAAAAAAAACATGGAATTTCAAATTTCTACAATTATTTATTTATTTTGTATGATATAAATTTCATTATTATAATTATGAGTACAAATGCATATTTGAGAATATTCTGCATATACAAAAATATTCTCACTAATCGTTGTACTAACATGACACCGGAACATATGGTACAATACATAATCATTGTTATTGTAAAATTAATTAAATAAAATAAATTTAAAATTTTGTAAATCAAATTAATAATACAATTTAATACATAATAAATTTAAGCTGAAAACTAAAATTAAACATTTTTTTTTTACAGAATACCAAAGAAATATTTTGCACTTTTAAGGACATAAAACACCATGTATCTGGTATTTTAAAAAAATATTAAGATAATATATTGCCTTTTTTAAATGTCATAAACCATCATATTTTAAGGATTTTATGAGAATATAAATATGATCTCTAGTCGTGATTAATCTTTAATAACTATTTTGCATATTTTTATGTATTATGTTTGAAAGCAAATTATAATATCAACTTCATTTGACTTAATTGGTGTTAAAAAGATAAGAAACTAAAATAATGGATGTGAATAAAGTTTACCAAACATCAAAAATTGGCATTTAGATAAGAATAAAAATTATTTTAAAATTTGTTACTTAATATACAAAAGAGTCCCCATTTTAATTAATTCAAATTTCCTGTAAGTACAATATATTATACCTATTATAAATTATTATACAATGATTATACATTAGTTTTGTAATTTTTTTTTTGTTTTTAAATTACTAATTATACAATACATAAAAAACTTTTTACATAAAGCACAAGTAAAATAAAATAAAATATGTACAATGTAATAAGTCAAACTTTAGAGACAGGAGACTAGGGTGGAGAAACTATCCATTGATGGAACTTCATGGTGAGAAGTATAGGAGTAAATCAGTTAGTAGTTCATTTTATAATATATAATATAAACCTAGAGATATTAGATATTTTTCTATGAATAAAAAATGTTACAATCAATATACCTGTATTTGTAATTTTTGAACATTAAAAACAATAGTTAGAGGCTAAAATGTATATAAAATTTGCATTAAATATAACTTTAAAATGTATTATTTATGAAAAAAATTTGCAATTAATTTGTGTAATGTAAAATTAAATTTTACTGTATTGATTATTTAGACAAATATAATGATAAAATTAAAAGCTTTAGTTATGTTAAAATATGTGTATGAAAAATATTCATAAAAGCACAGGCTAATAACAATTCATATAAATATTATTCTTGTAAAAAAGGATTCATAATTGCTTCCATACCATCAACTGGACAAATTAACTCAATTGTTGTGCCTCGACAAACAACTAAACCCAATGTTCTTGTATCATTGGTTAACTTCATAGGTTCATCAGGGTCCCGTAAGTATTCAATTGTATTATCCAATACTAGATTTACTAATGTATCAAATCCCTTTAGAGTTCCAGATACTTCTCGACCACCAGTAAATTTCACTCTAACAACTTGTTCCAAGTATCTGGAAATGCATAAACAATATATTTTAACCAAGTAATAATGTTAATAAATTTGATTTAGGTGCAACTAACCTTGTTAAATCTATAATACTCTCCTTTTTCTTTCTCTCTGGTACTGCAGATACTAGTTGTTCACTCATTTTAAATTTTTAGTAAACAAATAAATGAAATAGATATGATATCAAATAATTTCTTTTTTAAATATTTATTGGTTTATTCTCATTTCTTGTTAAATTTAAATATTAATTTTCAGAAATTATTTTATGGTATAAACTATGAAGCACCCGACGCTTGCGCTGGGGTTGGGTCCATTCTTCCCCAAAGATAAGAACAATTCAAATTTTACATAAAACAATAATACCAACATATATATTTCAAAAAAATGAAGTTGAGAAATTTTGTGTTTTTATATGAAAACCACTGACTTTAATTAGTGCATTTTGTTGTTTACTTAGCTATATTTAAAATATAACTGTAACTAAATATGCCTCGAACAAAACTTTATTAAGGTTATGTAAAATATTTAAATATTTTAGTGGCAAACAATGATTAAATATCACAATTATTATTATTGTAATTAAATTCAAAAATACTATATATATATATACACTAGCTGTCCTATATGGCCTTGCCCGTATCCATTTTTTTACCTTTATTCCTTTTTGATTTTGACCGTGTCTGTAATGAATAAAAACAAATAGAGGAAAAGTGGGTAGTCCACCTTCGCAGACTAAAAGTATTCTGTTATTGACATACATTTTTAAATTTTAAATTACTATTTACCTTAAGCATTAAATATTTCTGGATACACCACGTTGATTGTCTCATTTTTGTTGGTGCATTAAATCTTAACAGTACCATATCATTTATTTTATGACTCGTTAGTTAATGACAATATTGCTTTTTCCTGAAACCAACTCAAGATCTTGGTAGAAATGTTAGATATTTCTAGGTAAATATAAAGTTTAAAGTCTCGATCAGCAGAAGTTTCATTACTACGTACTAAGCGTACTCTTTTAGCATTTGCAGTGTTTCGTCCTAAATTAGATCTTTGTTTGAGCATGACTAATACGCAGAACATTTTTAAAGATAGTTTATAGTTTTATTACATAATATGGCACATAGACACTAAAAATACGTTTTGACCAACCTTTTAAATTTTTTTTTTCAATTCATCCTTGTTACTAAGGTTGTAAGTAGTAAGAAAAGGGCAATTCTTCCTCAGGTGCAGGTGCAGGTACTGGTGCCAGGAGTCTAGGTGCTATACCTAATACACGGCCACCCGAATTGTCCACCACTTTATCGACACATATTTTCCCTGACCCCTTTTTTCAAAGTAATTATTTCCTACATTTTTATCGGCTACTTAGACGGCATATTTTTCCCCACCCCTTTTTTCCAAAAATATTTTTTTTCCTACATATTCCATATACTCGACCTATTTTGATCATGCCCCCTTTATCCAAATATTTTTTCCACATTATCGAATACTTACTCGACTTATCTATACTTATTTCGTTATCATACACCTACGATATCTCTCTTAACCATACCTACTGTTATCAAATCGTTATCATATACCTGCGAATATTATTTTTTGTATTAGAATATTATTTTTTTTTTAGATATTTTTTGTCTCCGGGCGCACGCACGCTTGCTTTACCCCTGACAACACTCTATCCATACCCACTGCTAAATATTATCCATTCAATAAAATATTATTATGCACATTTTTTTTTTTTTGGGGGGGGGGGGTTTGCGGCCCTTAAGACCATCCCGTAAAACAAATTTCCCTCCACCTTATTCTGTTTTCAGCTATTTCTCTCCAGTTTGCTCTTAGGTCTACTTCTTTTACTTCTCTCTTCACACAATCTTCCCATCTGAGGCGTGGTCTGCCTAGTGGTCTTTTTCCTTTCGAATCCTCTTTAATTACTATGTTTATCATAGCGTCTTTTTTCCTCCAAGCGTGACCTGCCCACATCAGTCTTCTTTTTGCGATTTCCCTTGAAATACTTGATCTTTGGAACAAGTTATATATTTCCTCATTGGTTCGGATTCTCCATTCTTTGGTTCCTGTGTCGAGACAAGGTCCATAAATTCGTCTTACAACTTTTCTTTCAAAGGTGTCCAATCTTATTTCCTCTATTTTTCTTGAAGCCCATGTTTCTGACCCATATAGGATGACAGGGCGTATTAATGTCATATATATTTTTATTTTTAAATTTAGAGATATTAATCTAGATTTTAGCAGGGTTCCCAAACCAAAAAAACAGTTGTTGGCCAGTTGTATCCTTTTTGAAATTTCTACTCTTAACTCATTGTCCTGAGTTAAGAGGACACCTAAATTTAAATTGTGGAACCCTGTGGAATATATGTCCATCTACATTCATACTATCTCTGTGTCGATACGTCCTGTCTCTTCCGTTGAGTTTCACATATTCCGTCTTACCATCCTTTATTCTGAGGCCGACTTTACTCGCAGCATCCATTAGCTTCTTACAATGTATTTTAACTATTTCAATATTGTCTCCTATGATGGCAATATCGTCGGCATATGCTAGCAGGCCTATCTTTGACAGTCCTAAGGTTATACCTTCCGATATATTCATATCTCTGACCACCTTTTCGAAAACTAGGTTAAAAAGGATTGGAGATAATGCATCCCCTTGCCTTAAACCAGATGTTACTTTGAACGATTTAGATGTAGAGCTCGCTATTTTTATTTTTATTTCAGAATTTTCCATAGTCGCTTTAATCAGGTTAATTAACTTTCTTGGCATATTGAACTCTTTTAATATATTAAATAGTGTTGGTCTATGTATGGAGTTGTATGCTTTCTCAAAGTCTACAAACAAGGTATAGACCTCCTTATCAAACTCCCACATTTTTTGTAATATCTGCCTTATAATAAATATTTGATCTGTAGTAGATCTATTTGGTCTAAAACCCCCTTGGTAGTCTCCCAGTAATCCTTCGGAGATTGGTTTAATTCTATCTAGGATGCAGTACGATAATACTTTGTATGTTGTGTTGAGTAGAGCAATGCCCCTATAATTATTGCACTCGAGNTACAAGGTTATGTATATTGGATATGGTTTCTTCATCTAAACTCTTTAGAATCTCAGCCTGGATTCCATCTTCACCCGGAGTATTATGATTTTTTAGCCTCTTAATTTGTTCTGCTATCTCAATTCTGTCTGGTGGGAGGTATTCGATTTCGTTTGGTTCTACTTCAGTCCAAGTGAATGAGTTTATAGGCTCGTGACAATTAAGGAGGTTCTCGAAGTAATCTTTCCATTTATCCAAAATATTATTTGGGTCTGTAATCAATGTACCACCGCTATTTTTTAAGAACTTTTCTTGTTTCTTGAATCCTGTTTTAAGGGCATTGATATTTTGGAATAGTTGACGTGACCTATTCGATTTTTGGTATTCTTCTGTTTCTTCTAGCATGTTCTTCGTGTACCTTCTCTTTTCGTATCTGATTATATTGTTTACTTCTTTTTTGCATATTATGTAGTTATTTTCTTTTTCTACATTGTCTGTGTCGCTAAGCCACTGTATTCTACTTTCTTTTTTACGTTTTAGGGTTCTCCTACATGTATCGTTAAACCATGGTTTATTCGATTTCTTTTATTTTCCTATTACAACATCAGATGTTTTGTTTATTATATCCTTAGATTTATTCCACTTTTCATCTACCGAGACTATGCTGTTAAAGTCGCAGTTATTAAAATCTTAACGTATTTTTTGTCTGAAAGTATTTGCACATTTTGGGCCATCCAGTTTTGTTACATCATATCTGGTTAGTTGTTCCATATTTGTATGAGGGCGTCTTTTAAGTTTTATTTTCATTTTTCCTCTTTCGAGATAGTGATCTGAGTTCGAGTCTGCTCCTCTTATCGATCTGACATCTTGGATACAATTTTTATATCTTGAATCGACCAGAATATAGTCTATTTGGTTAGTATATCTTCCATCTGGTGAACTCCATGTCCCTTTATGAATATTTTTATGTGGGTACATTGTACTCTTTATTACTAGACCATTCCCGGTTGCCAAGTCAATTAGTTTAAGTCCGTTGTCATTTGTTTCATCGTGTAGACTGTGTTTTCCTGCCACTTGTCTAATCATTGTTTCTTTCCCAACTTTGACGTTGATCAGTACAGCTACCATAGAAGATAGTTGTCTCGTTTACATTTATCGTCCCTGTATTGGCCCATCTAATTTCTTGTAATGCTGTTAATTTGACTTTATATTTTTCAATTTCATTCACTATGTTGTGAACTGCTCCAGAACTGCGTACGTTCCAAGTTCCGAAAGATAAGTCCTTTTTCCGTTTTTCAGTCAATTTTCCAAAAACTCTGTCCCGAGGAAAATTTGCTTGATCCTGAACATGTTGTTTTTTACTAGGTAGGTTGTTAACCCTACGCTAAACCCCCTACCAGGAGGACCTGACTACACCAATTAGTTAAAGTCAGTGTGGGGCTATTGCAGTACACAATGTTATGTACTGGGCGATGGGCGCGCCACTTTCCCTACGCCCTTTCCATGTGCACATTATTACAAAACAAAATGGTTATTAACAACGTTGATAGTTTGTATATTCCTTCAAGAGCTAATGTTACCATACCCGTCGTATAATCTAAACCACCCCGCACTATCCCTTAAACCCTTTTCGTCTACATCGTAATTATAAATACCTAAACAAAAATATTATACGTATTTTCATAGATTTTACATAATCGTTGTCGTCTTCCTGTTAGGTTAGATTTTTTTCAACAACAATACAATTGTCATTACCATTGCTATCATTGACAAACAGGTACACTAACGACAACAACACGTTAGTTAATTATACATACACACTCACAAACGTATACCCATACGCATACGCACACACACATCCATACGTGCATACACATACGCACCTACCGCTCCGGCTAATCACATACACAAATGCGCACACACATATACACATACGTACCTATGATCGCCCCCGGAAATAATATTTTCGTTGATAATAGTACCAACCAGTGTATTTTTTAAACGAATAATACATGAACTTTGAAAATAATATTTTTAGAGTATCTATATATAACACCTTTAATTTTATTATATATCACCGTTTTTAATAATATGCATCGATACATCGTATGGCATATTGATCACGCATGCAGCGTAATTATTAGAATTTCTTTATGTATATTCGTTTCCATAAATAATAAAATTATCATATTGTGTACCGATCTCGATTCGAAAAATATTATTTTACAAGTATTACTTATGCTCACCATACATAGAAAAGATACAAGTATTTTAAATAGCAATAAAATATATAGGCATGAAATATAATCAGTGATGTCACCGTTATCGTACACACATGTAGGTATAAAGGTCATGTGTTTTCATTTTACTATTCTGCGGTCGCCCGCGCGCTCGCGTTACCCCGCAATATCCTCTGACTACTATCGGTTGCAGATGTCAAGACAACAGATTTTATGAAATATCATCGTCGGCGACAACGTACTTATCGGTCCGAGAGCTATAATCTCTCCTCCGCCAATCTACCCACCGTTTCGAACAAACATTATCTATACAACAAAATAATAAATATCGCATAATCGTCGAGCGATTTCCTGTGCATAGATTTTTGTCAACGACAATACAATTGTTATATCCGTTGGTATCATCGACCTACTGGTTCAAAGGTCGACAATTACACGATCCTCATTTACCTACACACACACACACACACACTTTGTTAATATAATGCTTTAGAAATTTTTGAACACATATATGATATTAAATAACAATACATTTTTAAATTTTATCGGAATAATATACTTTAAAATAAACATAAATCCAAGGTCACATAATATATATTCTTATATTTATAAAAATATTAAAACCTTATGATCTATTAATTAACCATTTTCGTAAGGTGGAAACTTTGTAAAATGTACATTGTTTAGGATTCAAATCCATATGAAAAATACAGAAAGGTAAATTGTTGTCTGTATACAGTTGGTCTAATCGTGAACACTCCATGATCTCCATATTAATAACATCGACTTGTGGAATAAAACCTATGATTATTTCTGTTTCGGTTCTCTATTGACGTATATATGATCGAATTTCAACGAATTTAAAATACGTTCGAGTTCTTTATACTCTACATCGCCGTATTCTACGGGTATATTATGGAAATTTCATGCGAGCCATTTATTTGTCTTACGACTTTTTCCGTTTTGAGCAATCCGTGAATATTTAAATATCCAATGTTGAGTTGTTCAAGTATTCATGTCGACTATAGACATTTCTTTTATCAAATATTTATTATCCGAACGTAAAACACATTGAATATCTAAAATAGTGGAAGACATTATTAAACACGTCTTTCTCACATAACGGATCTGTTTAAACTGAATTCGGATGATAGATTCGTCAGTAGTAGTCAAGTATGTTTTCTACTTTATTTATTCTTCATAATTCTGTATCCTATACGAAATATAATCGACGACGGCGAAAACGGACCTGCACAGGCCTGTCTAGCGAGAGTCCAACGTCCATCCTGTGATAACAGTTGATAACATATATATATATATGATTTATATACCGTTCTGGAGTATGTACTCGTCATCATTATTGTATATATTATTTTATGCGTATCATTTCTCGCACACATAGCACTCGTCTTACCCAGCGCGCAAACACCCTCCCACTAAATATATTTTAATAAATTATCATTTTTTCAAAACATTGTTATTCAATGATATATTACACATTAGTTGGTATATTATATAAGTATATATATATATATATATATATACTTATATTGCATAATATACTATTAGCAATCATTATTTGAAGCCCTTTATTAAAATAATATAAACATACATTTCAATGTAAATATACTTTTTATCAGTCATTAACAAAGTATATTATAACAATGGATTTTTATCGATAAGACATTCTAACCATGAGTCATGTCTGAGCTGGTCGGGACATGTCTCTTACTCCCACCATAAATGTATACATTTCGATTCATGATAGTGCTAGTAGATGAATATCAGAATTATTATCCGTCTCACAGTCGTAGCAGCAGGAGGTGTTCATTTCTCCGACTATAAATTGTTTCCAAGTGTTTTAAAAAAAAAAATTACTACAGTATTTTAAATATGGCTGCTTTAAGTGAAACAAATGTTACCGCAAGTAAGAATCAATTATACAAATATTAGACTGCAATATAGATTGCAGTAACTATACTCTGAGCTTCACAGAACGTAAGTTCGTGAATATAGGCATCGACCCGACAGACATATTTGCTGTCAAAGTATATATAATAACTTCGTCGTGGTACGTTAATATAACACCAGATATTCTTACACGTATATTTTCACTGATGGACGAAATCCAATTAATCATACTCGGAACACCGAAATTTAAGTTACATATATTTCTGGAAACCGCAATATTCAAGTTATCGCTTTCTGTGTACAAAAAAGAAAATGTTTTTGTGATGGAAACAAAAATGTGGTCAGTTGCCGCATCCTATTAAATAGACAGGATTTATTCGCACTTCAAAATTTGGAATGGTGCATTTTCAAGACGATCGCACGGAAAACAGCAATCAGTCTACCAATAGTATTAAAACAATTCAATCAGGTTAGTTGTTATATAGATGAAGAAATTACCAAAATGAGATCACCACCATCAGATATGAACGGAATACAAATGTTCATAAATAGTCTTCAAGACGATAATATCATCGCCTCCTTACCGAAATATGAGAAACGTTAGTTATGTCAGTCAAATAAATAAGGATGTATCCAACTACTCAATTAGCAGAGTGTTGGATGAATACGCAGAGCACGGGTAATCTATCGATTATAACACTTTTACTGAGCTATTCGCCTACGTCTCCTAGTTATTTGATGCCGCCAACTTATGCCGTAAGAGGATACGACCACAACGACGGGCCGTACGAACCGCAATATATTGCATCACCACAGGTACTGAAGGAAGAGATGGATGAAGAAGAAGAATTTCTTCCGCTGTTTCAGAATGGGGTGAGATCTCAAACGAACATTTTCTTTATAATAATGTATATTTTTTTTTTCTATTATAAAATTTAATAATTTAATATATTATGTACTGATTACACGATTTTACTAGTTAATATATTTATAGAATACCAATCGAGTTTTCGAGAAGTTATATTTATCGTAAATTAAATTCATCGTATATAACTGGATCTGAAGTGTTTATGCGAATCTTGTATAAAAAAAAAAAAACAACAAAAAAGTGAAAAAAAGGCATCGTGACAAATCCTGATTCTTTACGAATTAAATAATTTATGTCAATTAGATTTTATTGTTTATCAAAGTCAAGCTTATATTCACCATCAGCTTGATGGTGAATATAAATATGTATTGGTGTATCAAGATCATTTGATGAAATTATGTATACAAGACCACTAAGAACGTACTTGATATACTTCCCCTATGAAAGGGCTGAAGAAGTTGAATATTCCCTTTTAGAAATATTTACTCTGTTCGATGCTCCAGGCGCACTACAAAGTGATAAAGGCCTTGAATTCCAAAACTTAACGATAGATTCATTAAAAGAACTGTGGTCTGAATTAACTTATTTTATGATGTAATTAGTGAGATACGTACCAAATTTTTTGTGTGATAAGAATTATGGATGTCATTATATTATTAGATTATATTATATGGGTATGGATATATAATACCTAAAAGGTATTACAAGTATTTTCGCCTTGGGCCTCGCAAATCCTAAGGACGGCCCTGGTTAGAGTAGAAGTAAATGTTGCTTCATCATAAACTTTGATTAAATCAAAATTAAATTTGGTTCTGAAATCTAAAAGATTCAAGATCAGAGGCGGATTTGAAGGGGGTGGCGTATTGACATTTTATTTATAATTCGAGAGTTCTTTAACCATTTATGGCAGGATGTGTGAATTTCCATTTTCACATACACTCATTATTTTCTTCATCTATACTTACTAACATGATAACTGAATAATTCTAAAACAATAAATTACACCTACATAATAATTTGTTATAACTATAACTAAATTAAAAACATCATTCAATTGAAAACAGTCAAATATATATTTAAGTAGGTATAATAAAAAATATAATGTATACTTACGTAACAGTTACATAATTAACCAATATAATATAATATATAATACTAGCAGTCCCGCGCCCGGCGTTACCCGTGCCAATGTCTATTATTATTATTTTACTCATATTCATTTTTGGTTTTGGCCGTGTTAGAATTGAATGAAAACAAATAGGTGGAAAGTGGGTAGTACACCTTTGGTGGACTAAATGTGTTCTATTTTGAAATTTGAATAGTGTAAATAATAGTAATAGTAAATAATAATTATAATAGTTTTCTTTTCCGTGGCGACCCTTGAATAAATAAAACAAAGTCGGGTTAGCTACACCATTTATAACTCAAGAACGGCTGGACCGATTTTGATGATCACAAAATATTTTCCAACCAATTTACAATAATAATTATTCACCATTTTTTTTCATCCCTGTTACCAGGGTAATACTAGGCTAAAAGCATAGTGGGTGAAGGTAGGAGGGTGGAAATTCTTTACGACCTATTCTCAGACCTATCAAAAATACACAAAAAATTTTATGAAAATCGGTCATGCCGTTTCGAAAGATTGCGACCACAAACACGTGATACGAGAATTTTATATATAAATATAAGATATAATAAACACAATTTATAATAACAACTTTAATGCTCGTTTTTTTT